TTGGAACGTGACACAATGTAATGAAAAATGTAGAAGATAATGTACATGTAACACGATATTATTAAATTCTATCATTTATATGTTGAAAATGCAACAAGTGATGGTTATGGTATTATTTATGCAGTTAAGCCTCGAAATGAATGTCAAGAAAATTATTATAATGACACAAGGGGACATAATTTCCGGGTCTAGCATGTGCCCGTAACATGGTAGGTCCTTAATCAGATCCCCACAACATTTTCATTTAATATTAATTATTTTTCTACCTATAATATATGCAGTTAAACAAATGGTGATTAAGATTTCTAATTCGACATTTTATTAATCGTATCAATGATTATGACACCGTACTTGCACGGAACACTTTTTTTTTTTTTACGTAGGAATCCGCAGCCGCTACCCGCCAGCGGAGCCTCGACTACTGTGAGGGCACACCAGGTAAACCCCGTCCCATTTTGAGACCCACGCACATGTGAGAGAGTTGTATTTCAAGGTGTGTACCAAAGTGTGTAAGTGTAGCAATATTCATAGCGCGATGGTTATTAATTGATAAATTGCGAATTATAACATGTTAGAGAAAAGTAAAATCACATAAATGAGTGGGAATCTCGAACCTCTGTAATTAATTAGTATAATTAAGTGGGAACATGGTACATGCCATTTGCCACAAATGGTTTTAGTTGTCCAAGATGTTCTACTTTGATCTTGAGGCAACAACTTTTGATCTAGTGTTCTTACACTAAAGTTGCGTTTGATTGTAAGGGTGGAAAATGGGTGGAAAGAAAATATTTTATAGAGAAAAGATTTGCTTAGAAAATNTCCCCAAAATCCTGCATTCTAATGATACATTATTGGGGCCTTCTTGTTTTAAATAGGATTTGAACTATGAACTTTGAAACCTAAAAATGCCAAAAATAATAAATATATTATTCATCACAAATAGATTTTAAATCTCACACAGTCGTACAAATGGTCAAATGTTCCAAAAGTCAATCCAGAAAAATTCTTGGTGTACATAATCCAGTATTGTGGACTCCATCCCATGTGAGGGTTATGGACACCCCTATGTACACAGGGCCGGCCCTGGCCCAAGGCAAACAAGGCCATTGCCTTGGGCCTCATGTTATAAGGGGCCTAAAAAAAGAGGCCCAGACAATAACAAAAAAAAAAAAAAAAAAAATTTTCAACCAGCTGGAAAAATATTTTCCCAACAAAAAGGCTGGAAAACATTTTCATCAAAAATCCGAAAATTGCATACGTGTGGGGAAAATCCAGAAAATATTTTTCGTGGAAAATTTTGCCTATCAAACAGCCAAAAAAGTGGAAAGTGAAAAATATTTTCCTACTTCCCCGAAAAATGTGGCCTATCAAACACGGCCTAATAATTTTACGCGGTACTTTTTCTTGACAAAATACTTTAAAATAATTTAGAAAGAGCCAACACTATATCTAGCAAATAACATTACGAAAAGGCCACATAATTTTAGCCTATAATTTTTAACTCAAACCCAATAAAGTAAGTTTAATTTGAAATCATTTTTTACGTAATTGTGTCTCGTATCCGTTGAACCATAATCCTAGGTCCGTCACTACTTGTACTCGGTGCTTCACTTGGAGACCATTTGAGCTTGCATAAATTCGTGTCTCCACCATAATTACCATTAGAAAATTATATATTGCATATAATAAACTTATATATCTTTTAGAAGTAGAAGACCTTTTTATAGAGCTCAAGTAACTACATAAGGAAAGATTGAGTGATAATCATACTTTCAACTATTAAGGAAGATAATTTCAAACAATTCGATAACTATCACGAAGAATAATCTTATAATCATTTTTTCATATCCTTAACATCCCAGTCAAACTTAATATGGTATTGTAGAAATCAAATTGAGTTTGAAAATTAAATCGATCTGAGTAAATCATCATTTTCAAGACTTAAAATGGAACTTCAGAATTGTATTTATATTGCATGTTGAGTAAGTCAACCAAGAAACAGAAGCCTAGGCAAAATAAAATCATTTTGGACCATGACCATTGTTATGAAAATATCTTCGTTTGTAATACCGCAAGTGTAAGATTCGTTAATAAGTAACAAAATGAATTTTTTGAGTCCAAATATCATACTCATAAGTTTAAGTTCGAATTAACTTAGCTTTAATAGAAATCATGAAAATTAGTGATTTTTCTACAACTATTATAACCAACTAATATACATATTAATGCAAGACCTAAATTAACTAAAATCAATGCAAAGTAGTTATTAATGCAAGTGTGATGAGAGTATGATGATGAAAAATGCACTACGATTTTGTATCCCCTTATATCAATTTCCCTTAACCCCGAATTTTTGAATTTGATAACACGATTCAATTATTAAGATTAATACCCCTTATATTTCTATGACACATGCGAACATACAAGAATGTATTAAAGATTTGTGAATACTTAAAGATCACATGGAATATAACGGTATATTTCTATTCTATATCGGGCTCTATAGCAATTGACACTATGTCCAACTTATTTCAATCTTTCGAACGTAAAAAAACCACAATACTCATACAATCATTACGCATATAAATGTAGAGAAGAATAAAACCATGTCAATCATTCAAAATTAAAATATTCTTTGAATGTCAAAAAGAAATAAAATCAAAAGTTAAAGATTCATCATGATCCTAGCACAAAAACTACTTAGCTGACATGATAATGGAAAGAAAACGAAAGAAAGATAAAAATAGTTTATCACCCGAAGTTCTTTGATTCGAATTTGCCTTTGTTCTTCGCCTCTCCAAACAATCAATTGTTCAACCCTAATTTTGTGTTGACAACTAGTATTTATAACCCTCTAAAAAGAGTCCAAAGATTTCCAAAAGAAGTTTCCTTGTACAAGTGAAATTTTAGAAAGAAAAAATTATGAACCCCGATTGGCCTGGACTGTTGCTTAATACAAATTGGGGGCGATCGCCCAGGTAAAAGTTTTTGAGCTTGCTGTGAGTTTTCATGACAAGGAGATCACCCAGGCTTATTTTGATTTTTTAGATTTTGCACTTTAGTCCTTTTCTTCATTCTCTTCTCAATTTCGATCTTCACTTTAAATTTCACATATTTTGATCCTTCAATTTCTATTCATGTGTAAGTTAGTCTTTATACTTTCCATCTAGTGGTGAAATCATCCTTCTTTCTTTTCCAAATGTTTAGAAATCAACACTTTAAAAATATAAAAGCTTAGCCTAAATAAGTGCATAAAACGCACTTATCAACCATCACCAAGATTTGAGTGGCACATCACACAAGTTGAAAAGTAGCACTCCAAAAATCTATGGGATTACCCGTAATCCACTCAGAGATTGAGTTAAGGATTGAGCTAACAATAAGAATCCAAGCACACTAGGAGGCTAAAAGAAGGAAATGGAAATAAATTTGGTGGAAAAATAATAGAATTTCCTTCCACACAAGGGGTGCCAATAGCATAATCACAAAATCGCCCCCCCCCCCTCAACATGAGGATCTTGTGACTTGTACCCATGAACGTAATTCTGATAGTGGGAATAACATTAATATAAGCGGCCACAATAAACCTTAGAGGATACCTAGTGGCTAACTTGTTCCAATCTGAAAGTTCGTAGACCAAATCTAACTTTTTTGAGTGAGGTGACGATGATAGAGGTCGTCACAGTGATATAGAGGTTAGATGTGATATTGGTTGGATGAGCTCGTTTGCCAAAAAATGGATACAATTGCAAGATTAATTCAAGATCAAACTTGCCATGATACCATGTTAGGATATTACAAATTGTATACGATAAACTTGTACTTTTATTGCAATGTAGAAGACCTTATTTATAGGGCTATACGTAACTAAAAAAAAAAAAGGATTGTATGATAATAACACAATCAACTCTCAAGGAAAATAAACCTGCACAATTGGAAAAACTATCATGAAAAATAATCTTATAATCTTTTCTTATCTTCAACATGATGAATTGGATAATTTTAGACAGCATTACGAAAGACATATGTGACACAATCTATTAGGATCCGTTTGATTGTAAGGGTGAAAAATTGGTGGAAAGAAAATGAATTTCAGAGAAAATAATTGCCTAGAAATTGTTTTGTAGGGAATTGTTAATTTAGTGTATTTGATTGGTATAATTTTTCACCCGAAAAATTTATAAATTTTGTGTTCGTTTGATTTTGTTTTACATGAAAATTGTCTATTAAAGTAATAATTTTTTTTAAAATTAGTTATAAAATTTGTTTCCATTGCCAAAAAGTAAAATTTTTTTTTTTTTTTT